AAGTTGTTGAAGCCTTCTTGCAGGCTACGGTAGGTGGTCTCTGGGAACTCGACGTATTCTTGAAAGGCGATCTCCAGAGCGATCAGGAAGACGCCCAAGGCCTGATTGTTGAAGCCTTCTTGCAGGCTGCGGTAGGTGGTCTCTGGGAATTCGGTCTCCAGAGCGATCAGAAAGACACCCAACCCTTGTTATTGAAGCCTTCTTGAATCGCCTCGACGTATTCTTGAAAGGCGATCGCAAGGTCATCGGTGTCCTTTTCTTTGACAGCCTCTTCGGTATCACTCCAAGCCTCGGTCTCTAGAGCGATCAGGAAGGCACCCAAGCCCTGGTTATTGAAACCACCTTGCAGGCTGCGGTACGTGGTCTGGAAAAGGGCGAACACAAGGTCATCGACGTCCTTTTCCTTGACAGCTTCTTCGATATCACCCCAAGCCTCCTCAACAGACTTATGATTGCCGTGAAGTCAATGGGAAGCCTCGAGGAAAAGAAGAAGAAGGGAGGGTTCGTGATGCGGCTTGCGAGATCAGCCATGATTGCAGCGTGGAGTGGAAGAGAAGAGGAGTGCACGCTATTGGAACTAACGGGGAAAGCACTCTTATAGAGGCACAGATTCGCAGAGGTCGGGATGCCGTGAAAAGAAAAAGGCTTGAAGAAAAGATAAAGAAGGAACTCGAGGTGAAGGCGTGATGCCGCGAAGATGCTGCCTTTGGAGGGCAGATGTGGGCCGAATGTGTAGCCTAAAGTGACTGGCTTGAGGCAGTCACCGGGCCCAACACAGTCACTGGGCCTGACACACAACAGACATATTTATAATTGATCAATAGATTATAACCAAGTCAAACACCGCCTTCACTAATGATATAGGTACCATGGTTCCCCCAGTTGACCGCAGCCATATCGCTGACGACCTCTACGAATCCGTGCCTCTACAAGAGTCCTTTCCCCATTAGCTCTGATAGCGTGCACTCCTTTACTCCTCCACCACCCTACACTACGACCATGGCTAATCTCGCTAGCCGCATCACGAAATCCGACGACCGAGAATATTTCAGCAGGGTCTTAGCGACCAACGTATGCGTGTCCGCACCATGCTCCCTCCCGAGATCCAGGTACTGCTATTCTCGACGACCTCTCCTAAGAAGGTGCTTAACTACGCCACGAAATCCGCACCCGACGCCCACTCCCTCAATGTGACTGGCAGCGATGGATAAGTGTTAGATAGAGCATGACCCTTGCCTGGAATGGAAGAAGCGCCAGACCCTGCCGCGGCCTTTGCCGCCGACGACTGGAGGCAGCGAACATGAAGCGGGCTGATTTGATGCGGCTCTTGGCAGCGGAGAAACAGCATTATATGTTCTTTACGACCATTGATCTACAGGTAAATAACGACAAGAAGTACACGGTCTGAGTTTGACTCTCAGATAAGCCACGTCGGCCCCGCGAGCGCCGGGACTGGCCCGAGCACACAGGTAACCATTGCCCGAACAATGAGGAGAAGTACACTATTCTGTACCGAATGCAGGGTCTGAAATGACGATTAGCCAGTCCGTGATCTTCGTCAAGGTGAGTCTGAGAAGGTGCTCAACTACGCCATGAAATTCGTACCCGATGCCCACACTCTCAACTCCATTCAAGAGTACTAGCTAACCAAGAAATAGACTCGCGAGAGCGCAAACATCATCGAAAACGTATGAGCGCCGACGGCCACAGGGTCTCTGCTCTGTATGCCGCCTTCGAGGGCGCCCAGGCCCAGCGCGACGAGCGTCTCGCCAAATTCCGCAGCGGCGAGAACAAGGTCCTCATTACTACGAACGGCCCGTGGCATTGATATGTCCAGTGTCTCCATGGTCATCAACTACCTACGACATCCCCCAGGTGCCATGAAGGGTCGTAGCGACGATGAGCCCGACCATAAGACCTACCTCCACCGAAATGGTCGCACGAGTCGCGTGTCTATCAGCTTTGTCTCCGACAAGAAGTCGTATCAGGGTTTGAATAAGATCGCCACCCACTACGGCATTAAGTTGGTCAAGCTGGACACGGAGGACTGGGACGACGCTGAGGAAAAGGTTCAGGACGTGATCAAGAAGAACCGCGGGCAAGCGAGCTGGAATTTCCTACTAGTCAATGAATATTCAATTGCTACATTAAGTCAATATTGAATCCCTTGAATCGCAGCCCATGCCCTACTAACGCGACGCAGCCTGACCCTTTCTGTCCTCCGCCTCAGTCACCTCCTCCCGCTAACTCATGTCTTCGTTATAGGAGGTGCTCGCGGTGGCCTGTGCTTGCTTCTGGCTGTCTGTGGCGCTGGGAGTGTAGCTCGCTTGCGCGCGGTTCTTCTTGATCACGTCCTTGACCTTTTCCTCGTGTACTCGTTGTAGGAGGTGCTCGCGGTGGCGTGCGCTTGCTTCTGGCTGTCTGTGGCGCTGGGAGCGTGGCGCTATGTCATAGGAGACAATATAATCAGTACTCCACCACACAACACACGCTAGTCCAAGCTAGAACCTTCTCAGGGAAAAGTTCGTCGCGCTGGGCCCCCTCAAAGGCGGCATGGAGAGCAGAGACCTTGTGGTCTTCGGCAGTCATGCGCTGTTCGATGATGTTTGCGCTCGCGGGTCTGCTCTTGGTCAGCTGGAACTCTCTAATTAGACCTAGTATGAACTCACCTTGACAAAGGTGACGGACTGGCCGATCATAATTGGGCCGTATAATCGACACAGAATTATATATTTCTCCTCGTTGTTCGGGTAGTCGATGAATTTCTGGGGATTCCATTGACGGCTAGTTCGCTGCGCTACATCTTGAGGAGGTGGACCCATACAATCGACATAGGATAGTGTGTTTCTCCTCATTATCGGGCAGTCGATGAATATCTGTGAGATTCCCTTGACGGTCAGTCCACTGCGCTGTAGCTTGAGAGAGTGCGCATCGGGTGCAATTTCGTGGCGTAGTTCAGCACCTTCTCAGAGAAGGTCGCCGAGAACAGGAGCACTCTGGAGGGAGCATGGTGCGTCGGGTGCAAATTTCGTGGCGTAGTTCAGCGCTGAGAATAAGAGCGCCTGGATCTCTGGAGGGAGCATGGTGCGGACACGCATGCATTGGTCACCAAGACCCTGCTCAAGTTTTTTCGATGCGGACTCAGTTGGGAGTTGGGACCCATAGGGGAAGCCTCAGCGGCTGGAGTGTTCTCGACGGCCGCGCCGTCGGGCTTCGTGATGCGGCTCGCGAGATCAGCCATGATCGCAGTGCGTAGTTGTGGAAGAGAAGGAAGTGCACGCTGTCAGAGTCAGCGGGGAAAGCACTCTAAAAAGGCTCGAGGAAATGATACCGTAAGGAAGGAATTCGAGGTGAAGGCAGAGTGATGGGAGGCGGGTCGAGAGTCAATATGGATCTCAGGGGAACCGACTTACCCGGAAGCTAATACGTAATATTTTTGCTGAGTCGGGTGCGTACTAGGTACTAAGTACTACTAAGTAGTACGCATGCGTGTCCGCACCATGCTCCCTCCCGATATCCAAGTATTCCTGCCTGTCCGTGAGAAGGTCTAGTGGTCTTAAGTTGGTTTGGACTTGAGTGTGTTGTGCAGTGGAGTACTCATAACCACCTTAGCGGTTGGGTGTTTTTGAAAATATGTCCTGCCGCCAAATGTCCTTCAATACATCGCTAATATATGTTGAGCTCTATTCAACAGAAGGTATGATCTAGTGAGGGACAATTATCTACGTGATATCTTCCCTGAGCTCTTTCCGGTGTTATTTATATTTTCAAAAACAGCCCCCTCCTCCGTAGTATATATTGTCTGGTGTGATATGGAGCGGACCTTGAAGGAGTGGCTGTTCAATGGAATTTTATAATCCTACTTAGAACTCACTAGAAAAAGGCAAAATGTCCTGACTCCTCGGTCTGTTAACCTTTGTGCAGAGTGGCACTCATTGCCATACAGGCCTAAAACTAAACCAGAACAAGCTACGGCGAGGACGGACAAGCAATATATCAATATCGAACCAGGTGATAAGTTCTTATGTTTATGTGCCCATGCCCTACTAACGTGACGCAGCCTTGCCTTTTTTCTCCTCCGCCTCAGTCTTGTCTCATCCCCGTAACTCATGTCTTCGTTGTCGTCGCCGACTCATGATAAAAGCAAGCCCTCATCCTGCTCTAAGCAAAAGGTTGATGGGTGCTACTGCAGTGTTAAAGCTGATGGAGACAATGGCCCCCACAAAGGAAAGGTATACCGACGATACGGCTAGCAACCGACGCGCCCGAAGCGACCGGTGCGCCCAATGCGGTGGAGGTAGGTCTCGTGGTCCGGCTCATCGTCGCTACGACCTTTCATGGGGATGTCGTAGTTGATTACCATGGAGACACTGGAGACATCGATGCCTCGGGCTAGGACGTTCGTGGTGATGAGGACCTTGTTCTCGCCGATGCGGAATTGGCGAGAAGTTCGTCGCAGACGTCCTAGTCCGTGGCGGCGAAAAGTTCGATGCTCTTGGCGCCCTCAAAGGCGGTATGAAGAGCAGAGACCCCGTGGCCATCGGCGACTGTTCGATGATACTTGCGCTCTCGCGAGTCTGTCTCTTGGTTAGCTGGCACTCTGACTGGGCTTTGCATAGACTCACTTTGACAAAAATGACGAACTGGCCGATCGAGACCTTACAGTCGGCACAGAATGGTGTACTTCTCCTCGTTATTTGGGCAGTCCATGAACAGTTGGTCGCGCTGGGCGCCCTTGAAGGTGACATGAAGGTGGAAACAGAAACGTTGGGGGCCGAAAGGGAGAGATACCCTCCTCTCGATAGCCTAGATAACAATAACAACTCCACGCAGGTGTTCCTTCCCGTTGATCTTTGTTGGGGCTAATGTGGTGGGGCTTCTGACCTTGCCCCTTTTCCCTTCTCGGTTGGGTCGGGCAGGTGGCCACCTGCGCTGAGACCTTGTGGCCATTGGTGGTCATGCGCTGTTCGCGCTCTCGCGAGTCTATTTCTTGGTCAGCTAGTACCTGTTGGTTAGCGCGGAGAGTCAGCGTGGCTGTTCATTAAGTTAACACAGAAACCAAAGACTCGGCCTTGGTGGTCAGTGGGCTTGGACTCTTGGAAAGAAGAAATGATGTATTAATGGGGTTGGAGATTGATGCGTTTGTATATCTCAATATCGAACCAGGTGGTTATCTCAATATCGACAGATAATGAGTTCTGATGCCTATGTATGTGCCCATGCCTTACTAACGTGACGCAGCCGTCCCCCTTTACTCCTCGCCTCAGTCAGGCCTCGTCCCCGTAACTCATGTCTTTGGTTCCTTGTGTTCTCGGGCCAGCCCTCGCGGGGCCGACGTGGCTTGTCTGAGAGTCGAACTGAGACTCCGCCTCAGTCAGGCCTCGTCCCCGTAACTCATGTCTTCGGTCACCTGTGTTCTCGGGCCAGGCCTCGCGCTCGGCCGACTTGTCCGAGAGTCGAACTGAGACCGTGTACTTCTTATCGGCATTTTCCTGCAGGTCAATGTTCGTAAAGGACGGCTGTACCTCTTGTCGGCAAAGGACGGCTGTACTTCTTGTCAGCATTTCTCTGTAGATCAATGTTCGTAAAGGACGGCTCTACCTCGGTCTCCAAGGCGATTAGGAAGACACCCAAGGCCTGGTTGAAGCCTTCTTGTAGTCTACGGCAGGTGGTCTCTGGGAACTCGACGAGAATCGTCTCGACGTATTCTTGGAAGGCGATCTCCAGAGCGACCCGCTTGTGTCATCCCCGTAAATCATGTCTTCCGGTTTATCTTGATGACGCCCTTGACCTTTTGCTCAGCGTTATCCCAGTCCTCCGTGTCCAGCTTGACCAACTCAATGCCGTAGTGGGTGGCGATCTTATTCAGACCCTGATACGACTTCTGGCTGTCCGTGGCGCTAGGAGAGTAGCTCGCTTGCGCGCGGTTCTTCTTGATGACGTCCTTGACCTTTTGCTCAGCGTTGTCTCAGTCCTCTGTGTCTAGCTTGACCAAGTCAATGCCGTAGTCCTCATTGTTCGGGCAGTCGATGAATATCTGGGAGATTCCCTTGACGGTCAATTCGCTGTGTTGCAGCTTTTGAGAGTGGGCGTCTGGTGCGAATTTTGTGCCGTAGTTGAACAACTTCTCGGAGAAGGTCGCCGAGAACAGGAGCACCTGGATCTGCGGAGGGAGCATGAGGAGGACACCTATTCTCTTGATTCCAGTCGCTGAGAGAGTGGGCGTTGGGTGCGAATTTCGTGGCGCAGTTGAGGATTGAATATTGACTTAACATAACAAATAAATAAAGGGAACTACAGCTCTCTCCGAGACAATGCGATTAGTGGTTCACTACAAAATACAAACGTCATACTGCGTCATACGGCTGACCGTAGCTGCCGTGTGAAGTTCAAGTGAAGTTTACAGGTAAGGTACGAGACGAGACAATCAGGCATGTTACCCTGCTTAGTCAGGCTACACCATTGACCCACACAGCTGCCCTCAAAAGGCGCGCTATCGCGTGCTTCCTCTTTCCCTTAACATCAACATCTTCTTCGGACAGAGAATCATCATCTTCGCTCCTCTGATCCATTTTTCATCATCATGCGTCTGGCAGTGGCTCTGGTCATCGCGCCAATGACTGCACCGAGCCTCCCAACAAGTGTGGTGAAAGTAAGTCATCTCCTCCAGTCGATATCATATGAATGCTTCTAACACGTTTATAGTGGGCCACTTCAGCAAGGATTGCGAAAAGCCGGAGACGTGCCTCAACTGTGGTGAAGAGGGCCACAAGTTCTTCGGTTGCCCGAAGCCAAAGGACTGTATGTTTGATCACCAAAGATGATGTGGCAATACTAATCAGCTCTGCAGATTCAATCCCAAGATTGTCCTGAACCCAAGGCTGAGCGCTCCCGCGAGATCATCGCATGCCCGAACTGCAACGAGGAGGGCCATCGTCTACTCTATTGTAGGTGATCACCTTTCCTACCCGTCGAGCTTTCCATACTGACGCCACATAGGCAAGCAGCCTCGTGTTGACAAGAACGCCTGTCGCAATTGCGGGTGGGTACCCTTAAAATAACTTGCTCGGTCTGCAAAGAGAAGGGCCACACCAAGGCTCGCTGCCCGCAAGCGGACGGCGAGGCTGGCGGCGATGCACCTGGCTATGACGACGCAGGTGCAAATGACGAGGGCAATGATTATGCCGGTGGCTCAGCCTTTGACGCTGTGGATGAAGTCGAAGCGGATGCCACAAGTTCTTCGGTTGCCCGAAGCCCAAGGACTGTATGTTTGATCACTAAAGATGATGTGGCAATGCTAATTAGCTCTGCAGATTCCAAAATCACTTGCTCGGTCTGCAAAGAGAAGGGTCACACAAAGGCTCGCTGCCCACAAGCGGACGGCGAGGCTGGCGGTGACGCACCTGGCTCACAAAGAGAAGGGCCACACGAAGGCTCGCTGCCCACAAGCGGATGGCGAGGCTGGCGGTGACGCACCTGGCTACGACTATGCCAGTGGCTCAGCCTTTGATGCCGTCGATGAAGTCGAAGCGGATGGATCACACCAAAGCTCGATGCCCGCAAGCGGACGGCGAGGCTGGCGGTGGCGCACCTGGCTACGACGACGCTGGTGCTATGGACGAGGGCATGGACTATGCCGGAACATAATGACATTACTATATGAAACTATCTGTACAGCCTACGTCAATAGCCGAAAATCCAAGCTCGTCATCAAACATGTCCACGCATCAACATCTCAACGCATCAATATCCAAAACTATCAGTGTATCATTTCGTCTTCCCGGTCAACGCGTCGTAAGCGGACCCGAGTCCTAGCCCACTGAGCACCTTGTTCAATCTATAACACGTTAGTCCAAGTTTCAAACAAAGAGATCAAGAGTTAACTTGCCCCAGGCCACCTAATAAACCATCAACCAGGTTGCCAAGGCCGAGACCTGACAATAATCTAGAAAGTCCGTCAGCAGGAGATCAATTACTGCAGCGGGTTCTTACCTTCCAACGATGCCGAGGACACCAGTAAGTAGGAGTCCAACCGCGGCAATGATCTGGCCAAGCGGTTCAGTCACTGCATGTCGTTAGCAGAGTCCACCTCCCATCCACCTTCAAAACGTACAAAGTCCCCACAGCGGGTTAAGCTCCTTCTTCGCCTTGGGAAGTGACTCAAGCTTTCTCTTGGCACCGTCGACAGTCTGCGTAACATCCCCCGTCAATGTCTTCAAAACCTCGGCGAGATGGTGCTCCTCGGGGCTCGCGTCCTTGGTGCCTGACTTTTGCTTGGCCTGGCGTTGGATACGACCGTCGGGGTCCATACCGCGGACAATGCCGTTGGTCTCTTGAAGAATCTTGCCGCCTTCCTCGATGAGGGGCTTCACCTCCTTGACGAGCTGCTCCTGGTCAATCTCATCAGATTTCTTGTTGTCAACAACAGCCATCTTGTCCTTGATCATGTTTAGGATGGGCTGAATCTTTTCAAGAGACTGCTCAATGGCGCCGCTGAGTTGGCCGGCAAGCTGGCGGTCATCCTCAGCCTTCTTCTCCTCGGCCTCGGTCTTCTCACGAGCCTGGCGGGCCTCCTCTGTCTCCTTAGCCTCCTCCTGGGGAATATCCTGAATCAGGGCGACGTGACCAACGGTCTGACCCTTTGTATTGATGATATCGCCGTCAGCATCAATCTCCTTGCCGACGACAGACGACAAATCACCCGAAACAAGCTTGCCAATGGTCTCGCCTTCATTGTTGACGACGTTGCCCTCGCGGTTCACCTTGAGACCTTCCATTGGACCTTTGGGCTTCTTCTCATCCTCAGGGGGGCTCCATCGTTCTGCCTTGCCAAGCGTGTTGCCGTTCTTGTCCACGATCTCGCCGTCCTGGTCAACTGGGCGGCCGAATAGTGTCTTGCCGTCACCTGAGGTGAGGCGTCCAACAATGTCACCTCCGGGTGTGACGATCGTACCATCCTTGGCGACGGTAAGACCCTCCAATTCGGCAAAGGGGCCTTCTTTCGAGCCCTCACGCTCGCCCTCAGAGACGACCTCGGCCTGGCCCAAGACGTCACCAGACTCGGACAAAATCTGGCCTTGCTTGTTGCACATGCGTCCGACCATAGATGGGACATTGCCCTCCACAACCTTGCCGTAGATTACACCGGACCCATCCACGACGTTGCCAGCCTTGTTGACACGCTTGCCCGCCAGGATAGAGCGGTCCACCTCCTCCTCCTCGGGCTCCGGCTCATCCCAGGGCTCAGCCTTGCCAATAGCGTTTCCAAAGCGGTCTAAAATATCTCCATCCTCGTCCACCTTTGAACCTTTGAGCCTTTTGACTTCACCCTCGACGAGCGTGCCGACACGCTTGCCGTCCGAGGTAATACTGCCGTCCGCCTCCACAACCGCGTCGGGGAAATTCTCGAATGGAGAAAAGGATTTGCTGGCAGCTTGCCTTTCCGAGTCGGACACGGGCTCGGCATGACCAACGATGCTACCACTATCGTTCCAGATCTGGCCCTTGGCATCGCAGCGATGGCCCTGGAGCTCTTTGGGGTTGCCGTCTTTGAGTGTCCCCACGACCTCGCCCTGCTTGTTGACGAGTTTACCGCCCTTATTGACGGTGCAGCCGTCGAGGAACGACCAGTCGGGGGCCTCCTCTTCGGGAGCTTCTTCAGGCTCAGGCTCATCCCAGGGCTCGGCCTTGCCGACCTTGTTGAACTGTCCGTCGAGGACATCGCCGTCCTCGTCCACCTTCGATCCCTTGAGCTTCTTAGGGTCTCCCTCAACGAGCGTGCCGACGCGAGTGTCATTATTCTCGCTCTGCACGACGCTACCGTCACCACGAACGATGGCGTCGGGGAAGTTCTTGAAGGGGGGATCCTCTTTCTGCTCCGCGTCGTCTTGCGGGAGGGGCTCCGCTTTGCCGACGATTTTGCCAGAGTCGTTCCAGATCTGGCCCTGCTCGTCGCTCTTGCAACCCTGTAGCTTTTTAGGCTCGCCTTCGACGAGCTTGCCGACGGTCTTGCCGTCGATCACGAGGTTGCCGCCCTTGTTGACGGTGGCGTTCTCCAGGATGGAGAAGTCGAGGGCCTGGCTGGCCTCATCTTGGGCGTCCTCTACTTTGTCTTGAGCATCCTCTGTTGTATCGTCGATCTTCTTCTCGGGATCCTCAGCGCCCTCCGGGACAGTCTCCTCGGCAGTGTCCTGGGCAGCGCCCTGGGCGTCCTTATTCGTGTCGTCGAGCTTCTTCTCGGAGTCTTCGGCACCATCCTGGGCAGTCTCTTCGGTAGTGTCGTTGACGTCCTTGACGGTATCGTCGAGCTTCTTCTCAGGGTCCTCGGTGCCTTCTTGGGTGTCTTGGGCGCCTTTTTGAGCGTCTTCAGTGGTCTCGTCGAGCTTCTTCTCAGAGTCTTCAGCAGTCTCATCGGCAGTGTCTTTTGTGTCCTGGGCTGTATCGTCGAGCTTCTTCTCAGGGTCCTCAGCACCCTCCTGGGCAGTCTCTTCGGTGTTGTTCTTTGTGTCTTGGACGCCCTGCTCTGTGGTCTCGCCCGTCTGCTCCTGAACGTCGTCCGAGGCCTCCTTGCCCTTGGAACCGAACGAGCCGAGCGTGTTGTAAGCACCCTTGGCGGTCTTGCCGAACCAGCCGCTGGATGACTTGCTATCACCGCCCTCGGTTATATACTCGCCGGCGCTTTCCGTTGTGTCGTCCACCTTGTCGGTGGCGTCGTCTGTTGTCTTATCTGCCGTGTCTTGTGCCGCGTCTCTGCTATCTTGCGCCTTCTCTGTGCTCTTTGTGGTCTCGTCTACCTTGGCATCATCACCGCCAAGGGTGGTCTTGCCGAGGACATCGCCTGCCTCGGAGACAATGTTGCCAGCCTCGTTCACGGTATTGCCGGCGAGCTCCTTGGGATCACTCGAGTCGGCAATCTTGCCGATGCTCTTGCCAGACTCGTCCACAATCTCGCCGGCCTCGTTCACGGTGCCGGTGACGGAGCGAGGCACATTTTCAGCCTGCTTTGTGGCGTCGTCTGCTGGTCCTTGTTAGCTTGAGTCATGTATAGGTGACTACAGGACGTACTTGGGTTGCTCTTCTCCGCGCTGGGGGTATCTTTTTTCCATCCGCCAGCGACGGATAGTGGGTTGGTGGGCATGTTGTAGTATGGTTTCTTTCGCTGTGGTAACTGCACTGAACTTCTCAGGGCAGCAAACTTGCGCTTCATAGTCTAGCTCGAGGCCCGTCGACGCAGCATCCTCGCCCTCTTATACCAAACCATGCCCTCTACACCTGGCGGATCCAGGAACAGGAATGCCCCTCCAGTCTGGCCACCAAACCTGCTTGTGCGAAACGCTGCCAACGTCACGTCTGTTGGCCGTCCCTCCCTCACGGCAGGGAATCTCACAAGAGTAGCTGAGCTGACAGCCACTGACACTCAAGCCACACGTCATGTCCACGGCTCGTATGACATCGTTCGGCCGCCACCCGGGCAGTCGTGGCTTGATGGGGTGCGTGAACTTGAAGGCGTGCGTGGTGTGTGGGTCGTGGTCGATATCAAGGGTCGCCTCTATCGAGCCGACGACCGGGTTCCCCATGCAACAGAAACATAGGGGGACTAGATTTCCTTGGACACGGGACGACGATCACGCATCGCATGAGCCACAGCATCGAGATTGCGTGCGTGCGTGGTTTGTCAAAAGTTCATTCTGGGGGTCTGAATTACATCAAGGTGCGGCGGGCGGGTGGGTAGCCAAAGCAGGTTTTTCGTCAAAATCCATGCCGTAAAGTCCATCCTCTGCATGGAACCCGCGCATTCTCGGTCGTATACGTAGTCAACTGCGAATCCTGGACTAGAGAGCCATGCGGCGTTACGAGTTTGAAGTTTAATTTATTATCCTAGTCATCATGATCCGCGAGTGTCATTGGAGCTCGCCTGCTCGTTCTCCTGCTCATCCGCAAGGCCCTGCTCGCTGCTTGTGCTTGTGCTTGTGCTTGCCTCGCGCTTGTTTTCCTGCCGGTGCTGTTCCTGTTTCACCTGGTTGAAGATGGTGGGGATCTTGAGTATGATTTGGATCCCATCAAACGTCGATTTGACGTCGAGATAGATCTCAGAGGGCCGCGGTGCAGACGCAGGCTGTGGCGCGCTGCAGCCGCACGGCTTCTTCTTGTCTGCCTCTGGCTGCTTCTCCTGCTCCTGCTCCTGTGGCTCATCCGCCTTCTTGGGCGGCTCGTTCAGTTTCCCAATGATGCCGCCGTCTGCCGAATAAATATTGCCCATGTCGTCGACACGTAGCCCCCCGTCGAGCTCCTTGAGGGGCGGCTGGTCGTGGTTCTCGGACACGTGGCCCACGACCTGGCCCTCTGCGAGGACATCACCGTTGGCAGAGACGGGGCGTCCCACCATGGACGGCAGGTCGCCCTCGACGCGTCCCTTTACGGTACCATCCCAGTCGAGGACGTTGCCAAACTCATCGACGTACTTGCCCTCGAGGCCCTCTGCGAGGCCCGCCGTCTGACGACGCTGGGCGCGACGCTGCTCGGATTGCGAGGGCGCCTGCGGTGAGGAGCCGTCGCCCAAGGCGATGCGCGGTATGGGATCAATGTGCGCGGGTTTGCGCGGCTCAGCGTCCGCGCTCGTCGGTGTGAAGGACATGCCCGCCTTGTATGGCACGTCAAAGGTGTGCGTGGTGTGCGTGGGCGGGGAATGACCAGGTCCAGGAGAGCCCTGCTGCTCAGGCTCAGGCATTGTGGACAGCAGTGGACGCAGTGGACTGCAGTGGAAGGGGGTTCAGCTTCAGCAGCAGCGGCGGCGGATGAGCACGGGGGGTTCCAGTCCTGATGCAGTGGTCGGGAGCCGCTGGCAATGCGGTCGCGTCTCGCGATCCATCAGGGCAAGTTGGACATGAGCGAGTCTGACGGCCCCTCTTCCAGGCCAAGACTTGCCAGCTACCCACCAGGCCGGATCGTCATGGCGAGGGTGGGATCGGCAAAAGCTTGACCGACCCTGGCCAAGAACCAAGCAGGCGTTGCGGGGGCGGCGCAGAAACTTGGCAACGTGCGACGCTGGCGCGGCTCCTTGGGATCTGGACCTGGAAATAGTTACGGGCGAATTCCTCTAGCGTCTGCCTGTCAGTTTTCTGCAGCCGCGAACCGGCGCTACGAAGCTTAGCAGATGTGGGCTAGACTAGAAGCAGGACAGCGGCTTGGCTAGCTGGTGGTGTGGTGGTTGACAGTTTGACACATTGTCTATCGAACGTGGCTTGGCGACTAATTTAGTGCTCTGATGGAACTGAGGTAATTATAGGTATTTGATTCTTGATTCTTGGGTATGGAACATGGTGACAAGAGCCATAGTATTCTCCCTCCATGTCCATGTCCATCCAAACCACCTAACTCGCGCTCCCGTCCGTGGACAGATATGCATCGCTCTACCATTAAATACACACAATAGCCATCGCAAATAGAGACAGCCGGATAACGCCAACGCGCAAAGACCAGACAGTAAAGCAGACCACAACTAGTTCTCGCTAGTTCCTGACAAAACGTGAGGATTAGCCACATGGCCCTGAACGAAGAACATATAGACAAAAAGCAGATCAGAGGGCACGACGGAATAGATAGACAAAGAAACCGTCTATCCCGTGCTGGAGGTTTCCACGTAAGAATGGGCGCTGGTACATCGTGAGGAGGGGGTGCAGGGTAGGTCAATACGTACAGCAGGGCGAGCTCGAGGTCGCCGTGGATGCGCGCCTTGAGCTGGATCTCAATGTCGAGGTTGAGGTCGAGACGCAGACGGAGCGTGTCGCTTTTGCCGCCGCCGCCCGACTCGCCGCCCTCTTGCTTCTGGCCGCCTCCCAGGACGCCGCCGCCGACCGAGCCCAGCGTGTTGGAGACCGTAGACATGGCTCCCTCCGCCGTTCCACCCACGTCGCCCACGCCGGGGATCTGGTCGAGTGCCTGGCTCGACGACTTGCTCTTCTTGCTCTTCTTCTTGGTCTTCTTCTCGCGGCGGGGGGGAGGCGCGGCGCCCTCTTCACCTGAAGCCGTGCTGGCCGTGTCCATGTCGTCGACGGACTTTTCTTTTGTGGGGGCCATTGTAGCTTCTTGTGAGGGATGTGTTTTGTATGATTAGGTTGAGAAACCGATGGTTCGAATGATCAATGAGTAGAAGACGAGCTGAGCAATGAATGGAGTGTGAATTGGCGTGCTACTGCAGAGGACCCCTATGATATAATAGACGACGCACGACTCCCATCATCCCGCCATCGAGATGAGAACAGGTTTCAAGAATGAGGTCATCTGTCAATAATTATGGCATGCCATGCCTCACTGACTGACTGACAGCCAGGACCGGCAAAATAAAGACGATCCCTGCCCTGGACACCTGTCCGAAGTGGAAGTGGATGTCCGCCCGCCCCTCCACACCAGCTGCGCATGGAAATGGCGCGGACGCTGATGCGGCTGCTGCCAAGTTCTGCCCAGTTCGAATCAAGCTTCTGCTGAATCCGGGGACGTGTCTTGGACTCTTGGTGCCCTTTGGACCTCAGCTCACCCCTTGACATAGCGACTCTCGACGCCCTGCTGCATCATCCTTCGACGCAGCCGCAGCGGCAGGCCACCACCGTCGCCCTCGGGGTCCCAGTACACGCTCCACCGCCCGTCCTCGCCCTTTCTCGCCCTGAAGCTGGCCGGATCCTGCTGCAGCGTCAAAAAGTGCTCGTCGGCGCTCCAGCCCCAGGGCCCAATGACGTGACCCTCTGTCGCCTTCTTGCCGCCAAACCGCACCGCGCGCGTGGACCCGTCGACAAAGATCCAGTTCAGCATGGGCGGGTCGTCGGATATCGTGCTGACGAGGCCCTGGTGCTGCTCTGGGCCGGGATACTTGAAGTAGTACCCGCAGAACTTGTGCCCTGGCACGGGCTGGTCTGGGAAGTCGAGGTAGAGCTGGTGTGTTAGCCCTCTGTGAGTCTCTCTGGCAAGTAGGGGACAGCCTACCTGACCGTCCACGAGCACGCAGAACGCGGCCTCGCGCAGCTCGCCCTCCACTGGTAGCATCGCCGTGAGCATAAACTTGAGCTGCTCCTTGCACGCCTGCTGCTGTCGCTGCTGCGCACTGACGGCCTGGCCCACGCCCGTCACTGTCGGGATGGCTGCGATTGCGAGCAGACCGATGACCATGTTGACGCGTCTGGTCTGTATGCAATTGTCTCTCTTCTCGATTCTTGAATGACGTTCTGCGTATATACATGTATCAAGACGGCTCCCGCTAGTCTAGTCCACCACAGAGGATCCACGTACATAATTATTCCGTACAAGTTACTATAAACGTACACGCCAGACAGACCCTCCCCCCCCCACTGTCTGCCCCGTACACTGGCGTCATAGGACGTCTGCCACCCCTGCCCTCTGTTGCTTCGACATCCAGCCTGCAGGTTTCCAAGTTTCGACAGCTGGGACAGTCGAAGCTGTTGCGTCACTTGGCGCGGGCGCCTGGGTTCGGACGCGAAACCCTGCTTGGCGAGACCCTTATCAACGTCTCGTGCGGCTCTGCTATGGATTGTCCATAGTCTACCTATTCTCATCGACCTCTCACGGATAGACACAGCTTCCTACAGATAGACACAGCCAAAAAGCAGCGACAATGAGCACCGTAGGCTGCCACCCGAAGATTCAAAGAGCTGAGCTAACCCCAACAGGCCACCAAAGAAAACGACACCAAGTCCAAGAAAGACTTGAGTGACAAGATGAACGCGCCCCAGAAGCAGGAGGAGCAGGAGGAGCAGACCCAAGAGCAGAGCACAGAGCAGAGCAACGGCACCGCGCAAGAAGACAAACCAGAGCAGCCCTCATCGCAAGACCAGGATGACAAGGCCAAGCCCGACACGGAAAAGGCCACCAACGGGGAAAAGCCGGAAGACGCCAAGAAGGCGGACCAGGCCAAGCAGGACCCCAAGGCCGAAAAGGACGAGGACTCAAGCGCCGAGTTTGAGGACGCCGTCGACGACTCGTCTGCGCGTGACGACGAGGACGAGGACGAGGACGACGAAGATGATGACTCAGAAGAGGAGTCTGACGAGGAAGAGGACGAGTCCGAGAGCGAGGAGGAGGAAGAGGAGCCGACCACACCCAAGGGCCAGCTCACGCGCCGCAAGCAGCAGTGGCAGGAACAGCGCCAGCTGCAGCAGAAGCAGAAGCAACAGCAACAGCAGATGCAGCAGCAAGGTGGCGGCGGCGGTGGGAAGAGCGAGTCCCTCAAGCTGCGGCTGGACCTCAACCTGGAGATTGAGATTGAGCTCAAGGCGCGGATCCACGGTGACCTCGAGCTTTCTTTACTGTAGGTGGGTCCCTATCTTATTATTCTGGGCAGGCATCGTGTTGACGCTGACAGTGACGGGTAATTAGCGAGGGATAGCGGGCGTTGCGATCGAGTTTGGTAGCTAGCTGGCGTTGGGTATTGTCTTGTCTTGTAATGAGCACTCATCTTAAGCGTGTATATTGCTCGAGTGTCTGGCGAGAAGAAAATATATCACTCCTTCACTATTGTACAGGCATGCGAGATGGTCTTTGACAGTATATGCATTAATATATTGACATTACACAAATCTGGTGTTACCTGCCATCGCCCGTCTGTCGTGTGACAGATGGCCATCCATCACTGCTTGGCCATTTGCTTCTTGGCCAGGACCGCCTTCAAGGGATTCTTGCCCTTGAAGCGCAAAAGTGTAGCGGCAAAGATGACAAAGTAGTTAAACGCAATGAACCCGCAAAAGATGCCAAAGTCGCGCCACTTGTGCGAATAGTACACGCTGAAGCTGCGCCCAAACTCGTCACCCGTCGCGAACTGGCAGTAGTTGCACACACCCCCGGCACCCGTCTCGACGTAGCCGCCCGCCTGCTGGATGAACGGCTGCACGTACTCGTCGCACGAGGTACCCGGCGGCGGCGTGAACTGCGCAAACTCGGCGGACGTGCAGCGCACGGGCAGGTCGTGAATGGCGACGCCAAGCAAGCCCTCGAGCAGGTAGTGGAAGGGGGACAGCCAGTACATCCAGCTGCGCCAGAACGTGGGCAGCTGCTGAGCGGGCACAACAACGCCGCAGAAGGAGACGACAAAGAGAAAGAAGATGGGGACGAGGAGCGAGGCGAGTAGCGCGTTGGGCGCAAAGGAGGCAATGGCCTGGCCAAAGGAGACGTAGTACAGCTCAAAGAGGAGGACGAGGAGAAAGGCGAAGCCGGACGCAAAGGCGGACACGTCGAGGCCAAAGATGCCCCACCACCAGCAGTTGAAGTCTGTCATGTTAGCAATCAATAAATTACAAGTTTAGGACAAACAAGACTCACAGACACCCCCGGCCACAATGGCGTACGGGATCTCGACCACGACAGCCGCCGTCGTCCACGCGAACCACGAGTAGATCTTGGCATTATTCTCGCGCGACTCAAAGATGTTGCGCGCATTCAGAAAGACGGGCTGCAGCTGCTGGATGAGCGGCGGCGAGATGGTGAGGGTCATGAAGATGGAGAAGAGCCTGTTCTGGTAGTCGGTGCTGGAGAAGCCAATCTGGAAGAACGTGAAGCAGTTGAAGAGCCCCGTGAGAATGTGCAGCATGAACTTGCCGATAATGTAGTTGGGCGTGCGCCAATACGCGACAAAGGACCGCTTCACCACGAGCCAGGTCTGCGTTGACAGAGGCGCGGCGTACTCGCGGTCGTCACGTAGCGAGGCGGATGGCTCGACGTGGCGACGCTTCTCGATCATGTCGGCAATCTCACGGCTACGCTCCTCGTGTGCCTTGGACCGCGCCCAGACATCGCCCCAGTCCTGGCCGCGGTAGTCGGGGTCACCCGCACCGATGGCGTCGAGCATGTACTCGGCTGGGTTGGCGTCGGGGGGACACTTGTGGGCGCCGTTGGCCTCAAAGTACTCGATGAGGTGCTGGCTGTCGTGGCCCAGGGGTCCGTGGTAGACGACGCGTCCGCCGCTCTTGAGGAGCAGCAGCTCGTCAAAGTGCTCAAAGAGGACGGCAGAGGGCTGGTGGATGGTGCAGAGGACGGCCTGTCCCGCGTCGGCGAGCTTGCGCAGGAAACGCACAATGTTAAAGGCCGCGCCCGAGTCGAGACCAGACGTCGGCTCGTCGAGGAAGAAGAGCAGTTCCGGCTTGGACGCGAGCTCGACGCCAATCGTCAGACGCTTACGCTGCTCCTGGTCCAGCCCGGAGCCAATAGTGCCAATCGTCGCGCCTGCAATATTGCGTAGCTCGAGCAGGTCGATAATGGTCTCGCAGTAGTCCAGCTTCTCCTGGCGCGGTGTCTCTCTGGGCTGGCGCAGGAGGGCGGAGAACTGGAGGGCCTCGCGCACCGTCGCCGTTGGCTCGTGGACGTCCATCTGCTCGGCAAAGCCCGTCGCCCGCTGGAAGGACAGGGGAAGCGGTCGTCCGTCGACGAGAAAGTCGCCCGCGACGGTGCCAAAGTTGATGCGCTGCGCGAGCGTGTTGAGCAGCGTCGTCTTGCCGGCGCCCGACGCGCCCATGAGCGCCGTCAGCTTGCCGGGACGCACGTAGCCCTGGACGTCCTGCAGCAGCTTGCGCTCGCCCTTTTCGTAGGGGATCGTGTAGTTGACGTTTTGAAAGGTGAAGACGGTCTCGTTCTTGGCGACCTGGTTGGATGTGTCGAGGTTCTCCTGCTCCTGGTCCTCGTGACCCTCGACCATGGCGGGCGTGACGTGGGCAGTCGGCCCAGCCTCCTCGTCTGAGCCCTTCTTGTCGCGGCCGCCCGTCTCAATGGCCCTCTCCAGCTTCTTGGGCACCTGGCCGCGCTTGAAGACGGTGATGGCGCCGCCGCCCGCGTTGGGCTTCATGAACTCCATGCCGACGGTGGTGAGGAGGACAAAGGCGAAGAAGAACGCCCAGAGGAAGCCAAAGTTGCGCCACAGGTGCGCGCGGCTGTACTCAAAGGCCGCTTCAATGTAGGCGGCGCCCGAGACGGTGGTCTGCCCAGGGACGCTGCCCTTGAGAGCGCACGACTGGTACTGGGGCTGGGCGCCTGGGCCCTGGGGCACGAGGTAGGGGGGCACGCACTCGATCTGCAGAAAGGCAAACTCGTTGGCCATGAGGCACTCGAAGCCGTACTGGATCCAGTTGATCCAGCGCAGCCAGCTGAACCAGACAGGCATGGACGAGGGCGGGATCAGGTAGCCCGTGTAGACGACGAGGATCTGGATGGAGAGGCCGGTGAAGCGGGTGGCGGTGTCGAGGGTCTTGCACCAGGCCGAGATGGCGCGGAAGAAGGCGTAGGTGGTCATGGTGACGAGCCAGAGGATGAGGGTGGCGATGAAGAACTGCGAGGCGGTCCGGGACAGGTTGGCCATGAAGTAGATGATGACGTTGAAGAGGACGACCTGGATGAAGATGAGGGGCACGTCGACGACGGTCTGCGCAATGGCGTACGCCGCCGGCCGGTAGAAGGAGAAGGACTTGTGCTTGAGCAGGATGGGCTTGGACTCGAACGCGGCCGTCTGCTCGGCGAGGGCGAGCAGGGCGTTGAAGAGGAGGAGGAAGAAGAGCGTGCCGCCGCGTGGAAAGACACCCGCCGCCGTCGGCTGCAAATTGTAAAAGAGGGAGCCGACGATGAGACCCTGGAAGACGAGGCCACCCCATTTGCCAAAGAGCGAGGCCCGGTCGCCCGTCATGACGAGGAACTGCCGCTTCGTGCAGGCCATGACCTGCTGGTGGAAGGGCAGCGTGTAGTTCTTCTCGGCCGATTTCTTGGACGCGTTACGCTCGCGCTGCGACTGCTGGCGCTGCAGCTGCTGCGTCTCAAAGTCCTCGATATCCCGCAGGTTGTTCTGGTACGCCTCGCTGCGACGGTACGCGGCCGCAAACTCGTGGGCGGTGCGTGGGATGCTGTCCTCCCAGCCCTCCCGGACGCTGCGCTCGTGCTGGTCTGAGACGGACGTCAGAAAGTCGGGCGTCGTCCAGCGCTCGGGACACTCGAAGCCCAGGTCCTGAAAGTACTTTTTGGCGCCCTCCGAGGGCCCAAAATAGAGACACTGGCCCTCGTCGATGAGCAGCACCTTGTCGGCCAGGTTGTAGAGCGACTCGCCCGCCTGGTAGAGCGAGACGGCCGTCGTCACGTCCGCCATGTTGGTCATGGCGCGGATGCTGCGGACGTACTCGAGCGCCGTCGACGCGTCGAGGCCCTTGCTCGAGTTGTCCCAGCCCTGCACCGACGCCCGCGTGATCATGGCCTCGGCAATGGACACGCGCTTGCGCTCGCCTCCCGACACGCCGCGGATGAACTCGTTGCCCACGCGGGTCCCCAGCGTGTGCTCGATCCAGAAGAGCTTGGTCACCACCCGCAGGAACTCGCGCACATAGTCCTGCCGCGTCTCGCCCTCGAGCCGCGACTCCTTGCCGGGCGTCCGCGTCTGCAGCGCAAACGACAGCGTCCGCTTCACTGTCAGCGTCGCATAGTGGAGGTCGTCCTCTGGGTTGTAGATGACCTCGCCGCGAAAGTGCTTGGCCATGTCCTCCGCGCTGGTGCCCCCGTACGTCACGTCGCCCTCAACACCCTCGTAGCCCGCGCGCTGGTTGCAAAATGTCTTGAGGAACGTCGAGCAGCCGGACCCGGGTCGGCCCAGCACCAGCAGCAGCTCGCCCGGCCGGACGCAGCCGTCAAACTGGCTCAGCAGCTCGCGCACGGGCGGTTTGGCCAGCGCCGCCTTGGGGCCCTTGGTGAGCAGGTTCTTGAGGGCGCGCGGCAGCCCGAGGAAGACGTCGCCCACCGTCGGCTGGAGAGACGCGCCCAGACCGACGCCCTTGACGGTCAGGTTGCGGAACACAACACCCGCGTGCCGCGTGTTCTCCTCCTCGCTCTGCTCCTGGCGCGCGTGGCCAAACATGCGCGACATGAGTCGGTTGATCTCCTGCGACTGGTCTTCCTCTTCGTCATTGTCCTTGCTGGTGGCGTGCGTGTTGGACGTTCGACGACGCGACAGGATGCGGAAGAGGTCATCCTCGTTGTGGCCGGTCGGGCGCTTCTCCAGCGGCGGCTTGCTGGTCGTCTCGTTGGGCGTGGTGCTCGCCGAGCTGGTCGTGGTCGTCTCGTCGCGGTTGTCACGGTCGTCGCTGACTTGGTGTTGGTTCGGGAGGGTGCTGGTGAGCGAGGGCTCAGCAGTAGCCTCAGATTCAGCAGCGGGTGCCCTCGCACCCGTCAGGATGGGAGCACCGACAGCTGCATGCAGTCCATGTCCTCCTTCTCCTGGCGTGGGCGTCTGCGCGCCGTCTGTGTGCATGGTGCTGGGCGTCTCTGGGAAGCCGCCGGGCACATCCGTGTCCTTGGGCGTGGGGACGTCCATTCTGGTGGTTGAGGCAGCAGCAGCGACGATGGGGTCATGAAAGACAACAATGTAGGCTGCGTGCCGGGTTGGCGCCAGTTGTATATGGTACGTGTCAGTCCATTTGCTTCTGCTCTGCCACGTCGGATCTACGTGCAAAGTCCGTCGCGCTCGCTGTCTCCAAGAAGGCCGAGCACGAGTCTATGACGCGAACGGGCACCCGCGCCCGGTGGGTAAGACAGGCGCTAGGCCAGTCGCTGGGCTAGTACGAAGACTAGAGTCGCTAGACTATGCGATTCGTAGTTTAAGCATGTCCGTATCTGGCTACGCTGGAGGCATTGCTGTCTGTCCATTGGCCTGGTCAGGTCTCTGCGCGATAGTCTGCGTCGTGAGTCGTGACGCGGTACACCATGCCGCAATGGCTAGCGACGCCAA